ATCACTAAATAAATTTTGTCAATAACAGCTTTTGTGTAAAAAATACGATATTGTAAGCTACTAATAATTTTCTTTTATTGAACCCCCCAATGTACTATCTAGATTCACTTTCCTACCAGAAAACATGCTGAAGTAGATAGCCAAAACATTTTTACTGCCCCTTACAGTAATGACGCACACAAAATAAAAAAACACATCATTCTAAAATTAGTTAATCCATTCTATCTTTAGAATCTAAACTATAATTGTATTTATTATGTTAATTTTATTGCATCAAAATATTTTGGTAATCTTTTGGAATAATCTGTATAAAAGTTGAAAGGTTTTAATTTATTATTAGCTTATTAAATGAACAATTTATTGTGTTTCAGGATTGTTTCTTTTTTTATGATTTAAATAATTTTCTGCATACTCAAGTAGTTCAATGCTTCCATGAAGTTATGTGTTGTAACCATTCAATTGCTGAAAACAGTACATTTATAGCCCATGTAAGATGAGTCATATATAAATTATAACTATTATGCTTGTATTATAATTGATTCCACTATTTTTTATAGGTTATCAAAGATTGTCAATTAATTGAATCTATTCTTGATAATGAGAAAAGGTATGTTTAAATTAGATATTAAGATATACAAATTACAAACTCATTTTTGTGTACAATTTTCATTGTTTACACTTTTAGAAAGTGATAGAAGTTGTTTAGAACATACGTTTTTTATGACAGTTGATTATTATATAATTGAAATAGAGAGCATTACAATATTAAAAATGAATTTAGGATCATATATATTTTTTTGAATTTATTACCTAAATAATTATTATAATTACAATGCATTAAATAATGGTTGGCGGAAAAAAAGCGCAAAAAAAAATTAAATATAAATGTGAACACATGTACCTATACTCTACTCCTAATTAGTAATTAATAATTCTTAAATTATTATAGCCTGACACGGTCCCAGCTCCTCATCACTCTCTCTCAAATGTACACACTGCCACTCTGGCCTAAAGGGGGAATATCGAGATTTAATAAATAATTCGCAGTGGCCCATTGTTACGCGTCTGGCAGTCCGGTGCGTGGGTCGCGGGTTCAAATCCCGTACCGTGCAATTTTTTTCATTAATTTCTCGATATCTCTCCCAAAGACTGGCCACATCACTTGTGGTCGCGTCAAGCCCATGTAGACAATTTTATTTTTGGATACTCAAATAATAAGCAACATTTTTTTTACCTATTTATTTAATGAAAAATTTAAAATATAAATAATTTTATGTCTGAATATGGCTTAACTATTATATATAAAAAACAACTTGTAATAGCAAAAAAAATGTAAGTATAAATATGAACTCGTCTGTACATAATATACAGTGTTATAAGTTATAAGTCAAAAAACATTAAGATTTAAGGGTATATGTATAACATCTTAGGTATACATATACATATACTACATCTGTACAAACATTAAACATGGTATTAATTTATGACATTATTTTCATTACAATATATTATATTTTGTTATAGGTATACTCCACGCAGTAATTACTAATTAGGAGTAGAGTATACATATGTTCACATTTATATTTAATTTTTTTTCTGGGCTTTTTTTCCATGATTCTTAAATAATATATAATATATTATTAAATATGCCTTGCTTTAAAATTGAATCATTGAAAAAAAACTTATCTCTTAGTATTATCCAATTTGGTTTTGTCCTTAAATCTGAGGTTAAGTGTTTTTTGCATAAACTTAATCTTTAGTCAGAAACTGTTTTAGAAAATTAACATAAGATTGATGTATTAAAATTTAGCTGTGTATTTAACCATCAATTTAACTGATTTAAAGACCACATCCATATCTATTATGATATTCATGTGCAATTCCGACCTCTAAGTTATTTCTAATGATTGTAAAATCAACACATTCTTCACTTTATGAAAAGAGGTAAAATGTAGAATTTGTATTGCTTAGTATTCAACCAGGAAAGAAAAGAAAAGGATACATTGGCCACTTAGCAACAATTGCTAAAAGTTTACATAACTCTGAAGCTTTTTACTCCGATCATTTCCGTGGAATAATTGTAAATACATTAGATAGTGATATTGTAAATCGATGGGATTCTTTTACATCTACTACGTTAGAAGATAATGAAGAAAGAATTTCTACTTGTTTGGTAAGTTATGACTTAATTTATTCATGCTATATACTATTTTGTATAAAAAAAAATGCGTATATTTAAAGGGAGGGATCCATCCTCGAGAAGAAAAAGCATTAGATGATAGAAAAGAAATGGAAGAAGATGAAGCTATTTATGGGCGACCTGAAATAGAATTTAATATTAATGACAATGAGCTTGGAGTATCTAGAGTTGATATAAACTTTGATGAAGACGATGACGATGATGATGATGATGACAAGTAATTTGGTTTTAAAATTTATTGTAATTGTTCAATTATTATTATTTTATTTTTAGGGATTCAATGGAAATGCAAGCTGAAATGTTTAATCGAATGTGTTCCGTAAGGTCATCAGAAATGAGCATTGAGGATGAACCTGAATGCAAAGATACAAATAACGATCAATCAGAAGCTTTAAGCTTATTTAATAATCAACTTTGGAAGGATTCTGGTTCAGGTTCATCTAAAAGGGATTATGGAGTTAACATTTTTAACAACTCTTATGAAAAAGCAGAAAATTCATTGTCTAAAGATTGTAATTTGTAAGTTAACTATACACACTAAGTTTTGCATAAAATGCACTAACGAACAAACGCAATTTTTTTAAGGTATTGGTCTCCGGAAACCTCTGATTGGGAAACCTTTAGGTCTCAATTAAATGCAAAAGCATCGAGTGAAATGAAAATTGATAATAATTCTATTAGTAGTAAGTATGTTTTAAAGTAATGAGTACTTATAACATGAAAATTGTTTTTTAAAACGAGTTTAAATGTTAGATAGTAGATACATATTATTTTTAATCTCAAAAGACATGATAATATAATTTGAAGCCCTTTTGTTGTATAGTACTGTATCAGTAATTACTTATTAGATCACAATTTTTTTCTGAGTTTAGAAACTTCTTTAGAGGTACTAGAGATCTATTCAAATTAAGAAACACAGTCGATAGCTGACTTGTGCTCAAGGGCTTGGAATATACTACTCGGCAGGTATATAAATAGTCTAATCGGTGAGAGTGACGACAAACTGGTGCCGCCTAACTGTCTCCAACTGTGTTTCTTAACTTGAACAGAGTTTAGTATGTAGATTTATGATTTAAACACTAACTTTGGATGTTTAGTTTCTAGCGCTTTTTCTTCAAGCCCTTGGGGAGAAAATGTTACAGAAGAACCTACACCTAAGTTAGAAACAGGTTGGGCTAATTTTGATTCAAGTTTTGGTGAGCCATTGGTGGCTAATGGTGATCCAGTCATTGATCATGAACTATTTCCTGGAGTTATTGAACCTAATACTCAAGATATTGCTCCACCATTTGTGTTGCCTGAAAGTGCAACAATGTCAATAGACAATTTGATACGTAAGAATTAGTGTAAACTGTAAAATATGTATAAATTAACTTGATGTATATTGTTTTAACCTTTATGGATGTATGTTATTGATTTAGACTCACATTTAAAAGATCAAGAGACGACTGATAAAATAAATGATGATTTAATTACATCAAATACATCTTTATCTGAACAATTATCCAATGATGTTTCATTCGCAGATAGTTCTCCAAAATCGAGTGTAAAGGATTTGCCTATTGTACCTATTATATCAACTTCTTCAGATAAGTCTTCAGTTGATAATCCTCATGATGTGAATTCTGTAGATAGGTAATGGTCATTTAAAGCCTTAAAATCTTCTTAATGGCATTATAATATTTTTTAAAACTAAAATTATGAATTATAATTTTTATAAACATTTTTCTTTCTTATTAATTTATACATAAATTATGATCAATAGTCATCCGTGTGTATGTTTTTAAAGTGTCCGTCCGTTTTTATATATGAAACATCAATATTTATATTAAATCCAATTCATTCTAAAAAAATAAAACAAACATTTTTATTAAATATAATGTACTCATACACATACTTATACATTTATTTATAACATTTTTTTTTTTTATTGAAAGACAGTTCTTGTTACCTATGTAATTATTTATTTTGTGTGTTTAGTTTAGTGTTTGAATTACAGGGATCATAAGTATAATTTTTAAATATTTTTGTTAAATTCTATAAAATATGATTACAAATTAAATATATTCAATTATTCTTTATGAATTCGAAGAAGAAAAAATGGTCAACTATATAAAAACCCACCTATATAAAATATATGATACACTTCTTCGAAATCTTAGTTTATTTATTATGTTACTGTAACAAGTTATTATATATTTTACGTATATAATATGTATGTTTTTTTTCATTGTCGACTTTGTTATATTATCAGTTATATCATGGTGCATGTTTCGAATTATACAAAAGTGTTGAGTTTATTGTGTATGTGTGTATGTATGTATTCAAATATTTAACATATTTTGGTAAAATTATTATTATTATTATTATTATTATTATTATTATTTATTAATTATTATTTTTTGTATAATTTGAATGGTTACTGGATATAATATGTTTGATGAGAAGATCGTACAAAATAATGTTACTGTGATATAGATATCCATGTTTGTGAAATATAAGTTATACATTATAATACTCGGTTAACTATTTTTTCTTTAATTACTGACCATTGTCATTTAACACAAACCTTTATTTATTATGTGAAAAAAAAAATAGAAACAACAAATTTAGCACCAAATTATTTGATTTAATAATTGAAATATTATTAATCATTAAATTTTTTTTTTACTAAATTTAAAAACTAAATTGGTTATATTCATATTTTTGTAATTTATTATACAATGATATTTTTTAATGCAAGTATGATCTATAGTTTGTTTTTCTTGTAGCTATTCATTTTATTGTTTAGAATTTTTAGAATTTTTTTTTTCTTTTGATTATTGAAATACATAAATAGTTACTGTTAGTATTTTTATATTTTAAATGCTTACAGTTTTTTTTTTCAGTTTCCATTCCTACATGAATGTAAAGTGTTGAATAGTATAGAAAACAGTTGTGCTCTGTACTTTAGCCACACTTAAGACTATATATATATATAGGTACTATATACACATAATTTATAATCATATTTACTTATATTCACTATACTCGTACATAATATAATTACATTACAGCTGCATTGAACATTATATATTTTATTTTGTGCCAAACTATTGCTTTACTACCTCTAAAATGATTGTTGGGAAATACATAGACAACCACCTCAATCTGAATATTATGCTAAACAAGTGCATCCATAATTTAACATAATACCCCAAAAATACACGAGTATGAAGTAGTTCCGTTATAATTTATATCTATGAGAAATATGTATTTATACAATTTGTGTATTTTACGAAAATGTATGAATACTCGGAATAATCGTTAAATTAAACGAATAGTCACGTAGATTGTACACCATTAATCAACTATGGCACTGTTTCTTGTATTTTACTAATATGGCATAATATATTTGTTTCACTCCTGTCACTTTACTGACAATCTGTGGAAAGGTGGCTGGCGGATGACGATAATTCCGAATATTTGTACAAGTACTTAAGTAGTAAGTACAGGAGTCATGGGTTTGTGGGAAGGAGAAAACCTAGCTCAAGAGTACGTTGCACCGACATTTTTTGGCTGTTTACTGGTCGATTATTGGCACACAATCCGAATCACCTTAATGAAAATACATCCGGTTGACACCGGCAATCCGACGGTATTAAACCAGGTGACCCAAGTGTTTCTACTCATTATTTTAAAAAGTTAACTTATTTGAAAATTTTCTTTTTATATAATTGTGTGCCACTTCAAAACAACGTTTCTGAAAAATATTATATTTTTAAGTTTTTACTCTTTTGAATGATACCAAACATTTTGTATTTCATATTCTGGAGCAGAATATTATCAAGAGTATTTCGAGGGATGAAAATCAAATTTCGGAGAAGTAGGTGGTTCATTAGTTAAACCCATAAGTATTTAAAGTTTAGATAAGTATAAGTAGAGTAGTTATATTTTTATTTTAGTTGGTGGTATAATATTATGTGGATTGTATTGTTAGCTGGGCTAATTATCCTACTAACTATTGGTTTATTTATGAGAATTGAGATATATTATAGCACTGAAATACTGAATAATAAAATGAAAAATATACCTACGTATAATGTATGTAATATTATATAGTTTCGACCGTAGCATTCAAAGTGTTAAGAAACTCGAGAAATGAGAATGGAGATAAGAAACCGGGAAAGTAGGAAACTAATAACTATATTATTATTGTAATGAATTCATATTTCAGGATCACAAATTCATAACACAACGGGATATAGAGGAAATCTAGGCCAAAGATTAATCAATCAATATTCACTAATTCACTATTCAGTCAAGAAATTTGTGGGTCCAAAGCGGTGTATAATTATCCCGCACCGGGATAATGAACCATCCAACCATGTCAATAATGAATTATGAATAATAATATTATACAAAAATGCAAATATCTCTGAGCGTTTTTTTTTCAAACAAGTTTGAGCGAGCGTTTTAAATAGTTGCGAAATCGTTATTTTACATTTCAATCAATACTTGAATACCTACTGCAACAGTGGTGTTAGGAGTAAGTTACTGAGTAGTGAGTACTGCTAAATATATAATAGGTTATTCTCAACTAATTTTTTTCTTTTGTTGAAGTGTATAATTTAATATAATGTTTTGTCGCAATGGTAAATTGATTTGAATCTCTGTAGTGTCTTTCAAACACAAATATAAATACATAACTGGTAGCTCGTGCCTTTACTTAACACTATGGTGGTGGCTAGTAAAATATTAAATACAATAAATACGCCATGCCATGAATTAGTACACCCGTGGGTGACTTCATGTTGCGACGCAAGTACCGGCTTACTGATTCATTCGATCCAAACTTCGTTTCGAATTTACGTTACTACGTACATGGTATAATATACAATTTATATGTCTATTGTATTAATCTTTAAACTAGGTACTTACGTGTGTGTAATTTAATTATTTTGTTTGACAGTTAACTTTACTGATGAAAGGTCGAAAGCCGACCAAGAAGGAGCTCAAACGAACCCTGTTGAGCATTTTACAGTCTACTGCTTTTCTGTCATGCCATTCATTTGGTTTTTTGTCTGCTGTGTGCTTACTAAGGTACTACTACTATGAGAAACGTTATATTTGTGTGAAAGTTCGTTTGGCACAAATAATATATTAATGATCGTACAAAAAGTATTTTAGACGTCTGCCCAAATCGCAAATGCCGTAACTTTATGTTTTTAGTTTGAATTCAAATTCATGATAGAACCACGAAAAAGGAATCTAGAAGGTCCTTCCCCTCCGAACTTTGAAATTTCATCCGAACAAAAAATATAATTTAAAAATGTTGGGAAATAATACACAGTGCTAATCAATAAATGAGACAATGATTAAATTAATATTTAAATTTAATTCAATAATATGTCATAATAACACTATTGCCAATAGAAAATCCACTAATATATATATTAAAAATATTTAACAACATACAAATTACAAATACAAATAAATAAATGTACTGTTTACGAGATTTGTTATTTAATAGTTATAGAAATTGTTTAGTTAATATATAAATAAAATTCAATAATACTTTCACATAACTTTGGTTTATCCATTATTACCCATTAAATTGGGTAATATATCCATAACGTAAATGATGATAGTCGATAGATGCCGATTTAATGATCGAGTGGCGTACTTAGGAATTTGTTATAGGGAGAGTCCAGATAATTTTCTGAACATTGCCCCCACACCCTCCAATTTATCTTTATTAAATAAATATATAATATTAAATATATAAGTCCATGTAACATTTTTGGGTTTTTAATTATTTTTATAATACATGGGTACTTGTATCATAAACTTTGTAATACCTAATAATAAACCGTGATTAACTATAACTAATCATGTAAGCAGTCTACTAGAAAACTAATTAATTGCAAACATAGGTGTGAAGTTAGTTATTCATGATTAGGTACAACAATTTAAAATGTATATTTAAGTGTTAAAAAAAATACATAAGAATTTTCGTTAAGACTGTAAACTATTTATTGTAATTAAATAACATTTTATTCTGTGATTTCAAAACAATGTCTAATCGCCTAGCGCCATTTTATTATTAATGTATCCACATTGAGGGGTAGGTACGTCCCGATGAATAGACACCAATGGCCAGTTCATTTAGCCTATCATAAATCCAAAACAAAATTAAAATATACTGTTTAGTTTGGTTATAACTTTTATGGTAAATATGTTCTAAACAACTTCCATCGTGGTAGATCAAAGATAAGGTTTCAACCTTTAAAAGGTTCAAAAACATATTTTGAGAGTTGCTGTAGACACTTGCATTGTAAATTGATAGGTAACAAAAAAAATCACAATATAAATTAATATTTTTGACAATTAAAGTGACTACAATTTTTACCTACATAATCCTTTGTATTGTATGATAAAATTTGTTTTTCTTAATCATGTAAAAACACAAAATTTAACATGTTGAACATGTCATGTTCGAGACACGGGTCATCAATGGAAGATATCCGAACCCCGTGGACTACCCCTTCCGTAAATATGCCACTGCAATGATCGTATATTTTGGGTAAAACCAAAAAACCTATAACCTAATACCTATTATTATGTGTAATATATATATATATATATATACATTATACATGTTGATTCAGGAGAGAAATATCCAAATACCACGAAAAAGTCGTATTTACGGACTAGGATACAATATTTAAATGAATAATTATAATGTTTTTGATTAAAATTGAATAAGTAGGTTGGTACTTACCTAGTATTTATTATTAATTGACACTATACATGTCTAACATATTTAAATGAAGTTGAAGAAAAAAACAACATAAGTTTATGCAAGTGGTCACACAGAAATTGAAGTTTACAACATGTATTCTAAAATAGAGAGAAAAATCATAACAAAAAATTGAATGTGCGATAATGTTAGGATATGTAAAACTTTCATTTTTTTGTCTGTGAATAGGTACCTACGATAAGTAGTTGAAATAATGCTTCGATTTTCAATATCAGTATATTTTCTGATGGGATGAAAGTTAATCTAGTTGGTGAAAATGTTTAATTCTCAGTTATTTTCAAAAGCGCCAGGCAAAACAAAAAAAAATTAAGGAAAAACGGAAATTTAAAGGAACAAAGTCGGTTTTCAGCAAAATTTATAATAATACATTAATTCAAACTCTGATTTTTAGAATAGGACATAAGTACACCTAAAGACCATAACTTCAAATTCCTGATATTTTTCATACTACTTAGGGAGTGACTCGTGGCGATAGAAACTTAAATTTTTAACTGAGAACCCCCCTCCCCTTTTTAGTACAAAAGTACAAATTATTTAACACATGGTTTTCTCGAACATTTGTATACATCTAAAGAAAAATTCTAAATTCTAATGATTAGTTTCTGAGTTATTAAAGTTTGTATACTATAAGGATAATAATCCTCAAAAATGGTTTTTCCAAAATAAAAAATAAATGTAATATATGTAGTATTTATTATACTTTAATCATTTTTACAAATTATTTATATTGATATAAATCATTAGTAATTACTGACTTTTTCAAATTGTCTAAGCCCCCATATCTATATACTTAACCCATTACCATAGACATATTATCCTAAGTATAGGTACAAAATTATATAACTCAAAAACTACTCGCTTTAATATTGATTTAGATACATCCAAATCCTCAAAAAAAATATCTGATAAATATTTAAAAATGGAAAAGGGGGGTTCCTATTTGAAAAACTGCAATTTTTGTTATCACAGGATCATCCTTAAGTGGTACTAAATTTTCAATGATTTAAAAATATGGTTTTCAAGTGTAATTAAAAGTCTAAAAAACAGAATTTGAATATATGCATAACTTAAGCATAAAAATAGGTTAAGCATTCTTAAAAAATCACCCTGTATATTTAGAGACTTGAAGATTTTACATTATCAGGTAGATTTAATGATTTCCTGACGTACCTTCAGCCCTTACTCGCATAAAAATAAGAAATAGAGCTGATGGCGACCAGTTTTTGTCGTTGCAGTCGGCTAACACCCGTTTGTCAACCCCCATTGAGACACTGAGTCGCCCATAGCCCATCTATGGACCGGCTGTGTGAAGCTACGCACAAGTCGGCCGCTAACTGTGTTTCTTATTTTGAATATAGCTGTGATATAATTCACTGAAATCTGTACCTAGTGATTATATTTTTTATCATCATAACAATTATTTTTTGCCTCAAATAAAACATATTAGAAATTTCATTTTTAATCTAAGAATTATTTCTAATTTCCTTGGCACTTTCAGAATGTTAGGCCTTAGGCTGTCACTGGTCTTTTAGTAATAAGTTAATAAATGTTTATTGTCTGTTGACTGCTAATAGTATTATTTTATAATTTCAGAAGAATATTTGGGAATTTCAATGTGCTAAGCATAGCATCCCTTCCGTGTTCTCTATCCAGTCTAGTCGCTATATTAATTGAAAGGCCATCTAGACGAGGAGTACTAAGTCTTTATGTAACAAATGTTGTAAGTCACTCTTAACTTTTATTTTTAATACCAAGTTGAATATGCAATAAAATATAAACATGTATTATTAAATTTGTATTTAAATTCTAATAATTTAGTTGAACTCATATGTATTTAAAAGTAACATTCTACTTTAAGGCCTCCGAAACATTCTATAATATGATGGTTAATAGAGGCATTATTAAACCGATTCCTTATGGAGATTTGTTTATATTTGGGTCATCAATTACACTACTGCTTTATTTTTTCAGAGGACAGCATAATAAAACAGATTCAGTATATTCTTTGTTAAGGTACTTACAAACAATTTTTTTTTTAATCTGAAACTTAAAATTTGTATAGACTATTTTATAGTTAACTTATTAAAAGTAGCGAGGTGATTGAATCAATGTTAAAAACCATGTGTATACTGAAAAGTGCTTTTATTTTTAAATGTTATAATTGTTTATATTGTGCTCATTAGATCAGTGGACTATTTTTTTTCAGCAGGATTAACTTTCTGTTGGTTGTTACTTTGTTAGATTTGTTTTGGGGTGTATATTATTATAAATATTATTGTGAAGCTTACAATTAAGAACATTATCTGTGTTTGTACAAAGGTTTTTTTTACGATATTTTAATTTAAAAGCGAGATGTGAGCATAGGCATTGGGCGCAATTGGGTTAAATTTATAGGAGTATCTACTTCTAATGGTTCAGTTTCAAAAATGAAAAAATGTTCAATTCGGTAAAAAAGATTAGCTTGCATCAGTGGATGAGAACATATATTCAACATCTTTAATATAGTATATTTCCATCATGACTTTGCTAAAATTGAAAAGTACTCCGATCAATGCAAAGTAATATATTTTTTATTACATTACATTTTTTAATGGGATCATTGGAAGCACTTACAATTTTGTCAGGCGTATAGATATTTCAATTCTATAAATTGATTTTAAATGTTTTGATTCAATGACTACATAATAAATGTATATGCGATTGTGTAATATGTTGGATGTGGGTGATTGGTGAGAAATATATAAAGAATACTGATAATTAGGTATTAGTACATTTAGGTATTACACACAAAGACGAGCATTGGCCGCAAAGAACGAAATAGTTGCCTGAAAACAATTCCTTAAAATAAAATGTTTTGCGGGGCCTTAATATAAACAATTGCCTATAATATAATATGTGTATTACTATTATTATTATTATTATGAAAAGGATGTCTTTGTTATAAATATATGCCTATGCTATAATATTATAACCATGTTATTGGTTATAATATGATTCCGGCACAGATGCGGTCGGCACAGTTGCGGTCAATACCTTTTTGGTGGCATTTGCGGTCACTCTTTTTTTTATACCTATGGGCTATGACTGGTGTTACAATACTAACATAATAATAATAATAATTTTAAACAATATTTTTAATATATAAAATATAATACAATAAACTACAACTTTCCTTCACACTTTTACAGGCTTAGGACTGTCAATAAATAAAATAAAATATCTACTGGCGTGCTTAAAAGTTTTTTTTAAAAATATTTTCTACAAATAAATACTATTTTTTTACTAAAAATTATTATGATATTTAACAATCATCAATGGGCTCATCAATTTTATTGAGATATGTCAGTTAATTGTTATGGTTTATTAAGCAAGTTTTTGAACGAACGAAAGAATTTTTAGACATTTTTTTAAGTCTCTATCCTCTTCATATGATTTTAATGTTTTGTCAATTCTAATGTCCAATTCCGTGTAACATTTTTTCCTTTTCTTTCCTTCTAAATTTAAAAAATGTCGATTAAACAATAAGTCTCCATGCTCAGCTTCTAATTTAAGACATTTGTATAGAGCTAAAAAAGTTGGTCGAGGTCTATTAATCTGTTTGTTCAATCTGCTGTTCCAACCTTCAACAACATTATTTGTCCTGTGTCTTTTTTGGTAACAATTCCATATATTCTTGGACATTATTTCATTTTCAAGCCACTGTTCTACAAAATAGTCATGAAATAATTTAAGTTTTTCATTATTAGGACTGCTTTCCATAATTATTAGCCAACCTTCGTCAATATCTTGAAGTGGAATAAGAGCTAAAGCAGAACACATTCTAATATTAAGGCGAATTTCTTCATCATCTCTATACTCATCTACCAGTCCTACACTTTGAACTTTTCGCCATAGAGATTGGTTGAAATGATAATTACAGCCACTTATTTGAGTATTAGGAAAAACATCTTTAATCGCTTGAATAGTTGCTGTTTCAAAATCAATTGTAATTATATTGGGGTTAAAATTTGGAATATGCTCTTTTATAAGTTTAAATAATCGAGTATACATATTTTTTGTTTTATTTGGAAGCAAAACAAAAATTACTGGAATTACATTTGTTTCACTCGATGTGCTTCCAATATCTACGTGTATTGTGTATATTTGTAGGAATTGTTTGCTACAACTTTTAAAAGTCCCGTCAAAAAAGAAATTTCTATATGTAGATGCAGCTTCTCGTTGAGCACTACTTGAAAAAGCAATAATTCTTTCTTCGACATCATCGTCAAATAATAAAAATAGGTAATTGTTACCAAATTGTGAAATATCATCGGGTATAATTATTTCTTCTTTCGAATTTGGATCTAATGTATTACCAAGTGTCCTTTTTTTAATCCTATTTAAAGTTGTCTTGGCGGAAGCGTAAGTAGGAATATTCGTAACGTGGTCATAGCCTTTTTGAAATAAAGGGGACATCTCTTGACGGAAAATTTGAGATGATGTATATGAAGACTCTTCTCGCACTCTTTTTCTTGCATTATCAAATTGTTTTTTTACTTCGCTTGCTGCCACATCAGGTTTACATAAATGATCGGAAAAATTAATTATTTCTAAATTTTTAGTTCTCATACGACCTGTACACTTATCCTTTTTTTCATTCAGACATACCCAAACTGTCCCATTTTCATTTTGTCTATATTTTCTGAATTGATAACCATTAAAAATTGCTAAAGGCTTACCTTTTGTTGTTTCGATTATTTCTATTTCTTGGCCTACTGCATCTGTGCCGGAATACATTTCTTACTCTGTGTTGCCTATCACGTTTTGTCTACAACTGATAAACACATGTATCGAAAAACATGACTTGCCCGCCGTAGTCACAATGTGCGGTAATAATCATTATTATCGCATTGACATCGATAATGTTATAAAAACGTTTATAAATATAACAGAAAAGAAGGAAAGTTTGGTTTTACTCTAGTTCAAGTTATTATTATTAATATTAATATTTTATATTATTATGTCAGTATTGTAAAACCAGTTCATAGGTATAAACAAAATAGTGACCGCAAGTGCCACCAAAAAGGTATTGACCACAACTGTGCCGACCGCATCTGTGCCGACACCGTTAATTTGAGGGTGCTATTGTGCTGAGAACCCCTAAGCACCTCCCCCTCCCAAATTGCGCCGATGGATGTGAACATTTTTAAATATTGTAATACTTCAAATAATCATAACTCTGGGGAAAATTTAAATATCATAAAAAATCCAACCTTTGAGAATAAGTAATGTTCTTAAATTAAGGTTTAGTAATAGATTGATTTCTATCAGTAATTTCTATCCAGTAATTCCTATCTTAGGGTTTCTGAAGTGGGAACTTGGGACCCCAGGTGCCACAGGTGCACTAGACACGTAGAGTATGTTATTATCATACCTTTCCTCTGAATGTTCACAAGTTATAAAGGTTGAGAATCAGTATCACTTATTTACCTATTGTTTTTCTTTCTAATCACATACTTAATATAGGTAGTTAATTTAACATTGGACATACCTAGTTAAATCAAACTGACTTACTTAAATTATTTTTTATACCATGGAAGATGGTACTTATGGTTTGTTATGTAAAATATTTACACTATGCAAGTGCAGGCAGCGCACAGATAAAAAATGACATATTATACCACAACGATTATGAACAAATATTTTTAAATTCACCAATTATTTGAATGATTGCCAATAATATCAAATATTCTATTTTCAGAATAATATGCATGATACGCAAATAATTTATTGTATATATTTTAAAGGTTTGTGGTTGGTAATTCCGAAGAAAATGATTATTTAAAACCATTGTTATCTTCTGAAATTCTTCAGTTAGGAAAATCAAATCAAGGTACTATCCGAAAAGCAATTACTGGTATACATCAAGCGTATTATACTATAAACAGTGAATTAAAAACAATTTGGACCAGTGATATATGTCCACACACTTATGGTTGTTTATATTATATTCTTAGTGTGAGTAAAATATTAGTGTTTAAACAAGTTATATTATTTCACTGAACATATTGTTTTTTTAAATTTTTTTAGTCAGGAACAAGATTATTTTTAGTTGGTTATGCATTACAATTAAGTTTGAAGTCCTTGTTACAAGCCAACCAAATTTTACGTAAACCGAGTTATATTTTAAAATTAATGATATCGTCAGATACATTTAGGTTAGGAGCGTTTCTTGGAGGATTTGCTTCCATTTATAGAGTAATTATACTTTTAATAAGATTGATGTTAATAAGTATTTTTATTTAGTTTTTTTTTGTCATATTTTAGATTGTATCATGTGTAATGAGAAGATTTCTAGGTAAAGACTCAAAATACATATGTATTCCTGCTGGATCATTGGCTAGTCTCACTTATTGTTTGTATCGTAATAACACAATTGCTTTATATGTTATGTTGAAAACATTACAGGTATTTGTATGATTCAATTATTATAGTTAAATTTTTGATGAAATCAATTAATTACTCAATAATATATTATTTTCAGATAATGTATGTTAAAGGTTCTAACAATGGACTGTTTCCTGATTTACCTCAAGCAAATATATTCTTTTATTGTTTTTCTACAGCTATTTTATCTCATGCAGCTATACTTGAACCCCATAACTTAAGACCATCTTATTGGAAATTCTTACAGTCTCTATCTGGAGAAATAATAGGCACAGTTGATCGATATTATTTAGATACGTTTGGTCTTAAGTCGAGTGAATCACTTGAAATAGTATTAAAAAAAAACAAGCATGTTCCATCACACGTTTTTAAATTTTAAACTAATGTTATTAGTTGAGGATGGAAGATTATGTATGGTTAATGGTGTATGTATTGTAATAGGGTAGTTAAATTTAAAGTATATTTTAATGTTGTTATAGTTTTTATTTTATGGGAAACAATTTGATTTTTAAGTTATTAAATTATTAATTTATTTTTGTACGCTTGCTTTTTATTAGGTTAGATTAAAAATACATTAAAATAAGACAATTATTATACCAGACAGATCTTTATAAATAAAACAGTGTTGTGTATATACATAATTGTGATGCTTGTTTATTACTAATTAATTTATTGATCAGCGCATCTATGAACATATAATATTCAACTAACATTTTGTATATAAATATGGAATTCAATATGTAGCTGATTATAGTTTAATACTTTCATATTTAGTGTATTTGAAAAAAAATTGGTTTTTCTATTTTATATGTTCATCGTTATTTATTTCCTAAAGCTAAGTGTTCAATTTAATTTTCATTATTGATATTGGGTGTGCATTCAATTGGATGCGGTATTTTCATAATCGTTAATATGTCACTTTTTAAAATTACTACTCTGAAATGTTGCATAACCAAATTATTGAGGGGTTCAGTTTTCAGTTTCAATAAGATGTTACATTCCAAACAGTTATTACAATTTTCTTCAATCTTGTTCATAGTTATCTAACAATTCTTAAATTCAATATTACAAATATTGATAACAGGTATATTTTTTGTAAGTATAAGTATTTATTTATAAAATAAAAGTTATTTTTAGCGAAAGTAAAAAAAGTTACCCATTGCTAACACCTAAGATACTTCAGTTTATTTAAATTAACCCAATGTATGCCCAATCAATGACCAAACTAGGTACTGTAGATAGGTAGTTGAAAAACAAATTATTTTTCTTATGCTATATAGAAATATCAGTCTTTCAGTTGCACAAAAGAAGTATACAATTACACGTGTCTGCAAGCCACAGAGAGAATGCCGGGAATATATATACCTATCTTAATGCTCTATACTCCAATGGATCACTTTCACATTAATCAACTTTTGGGCATGGCTGAGAACTGACACTTTACCCTCACATAGTCACATTTCAGGCACAATAAAATTTGTAAAAACCAGTATAACGTGTATATTGGGATGGGATTCAATTTTACGGTATGTCAGAAACAAGTTGACCTGTGTTTACAATTTGATAAGAATAAACCCTATTGCTACCTGTATATTCCATATGGTTCTTAATACTTTACTTATCATTAAACATTTGAAGAAAATCTTCATGATGCATTCATTGTTTAAAGTCTTTACAGATGCTTGCCCTACCATTTTGTCAGAGAGAATTTGGAGAGTTCCTTCAGTGGTAGACTGGTAAATGGTATTTGCTTATTTACTTAGTGCAGTATAAAGATGTTAATTTGGTATACCACTCATGTATTTATTAGTCCTTCATTCTCTTTTGGCTTGAAACAATAACTCCTGAGAGATTCACAGTAATATGATTGAAGTATAAGAACTAACAGTTATTTAAAAAGTTTCCATGATGTGTTATTGAAAATTGCAACACCTCATCCAAAAATATGGGAGTTTATTGGTAAGATTTCATTTAACTAGTCGATACGAGTTGCTAATCACAAGTCAATCACATATTTTTTTTCATTTAAAGACCAGTTGAGATATTTGGAAAATACAAGTGAAGTGGAATTCAAATAGACACGAGGAATCTGAGAGTAAGTTTCAACACAATATAAAAATTAAAATTGAATATTCTTTAATTTCAATTTTTTTTTTTTTTAATGAAATATATATATTTGGTTGGACGTAAAAGGCACAACATAAGATCACTGAACACTAAACAAATTTGACAGTTCATCAATGACTTTATAGTTGATTATTCTGAAAAATGTGTAATAACATTTCTACTTAAATAGAGGCCATGGGATGGATGGATCATAGCACAGCAAATTGATCCTTATCAAGATAATTCAAAATTTTAATCAGAGATAAGCTCTTAAATTTTTTAATTATTGTATGTCTTTTAAAGGAACCATGCCTCCCACAAAATATTTTACAATAAAAATAATGACCTAATTGAACCGGAAGATTAATTAAATCGTGAGTTTTTTGATGAGTGTTTGTTCATCATGGTTAGTTTAATCATGCTTAAAATTTTAAAGAAACTTAATTCGGGCCGCCGTGCCATACAATATGTGTAATGTATAAGGTATACAATTTGCACGTTTATTTTAATTAATAACTAATTTTTCGCTCAAATTTCTTTATTTTTTAGTAGAATTTGGTATTTTAAAAAATGTTTTGCCATTGGTTAATCGGGCAGATCAGGTTTATGAATGCATCAATTCGAATTTTAGTACATTGCCTAACAAGGTGGCTGTCGGCTGAGTTAAACGTATAGCCGCTCATCGGAATGTACACAATCAAACTAATTAATAAAATTAAAATTAAACATATTCCTATAGAGTGCGCACCTAGCGGGGTCCGCAATCCACCGCAGGTAGAAAGCCTACCTCATAAATCATAATATACTGTTCACATTATCACAAACGAGTCTCATATAGAGCTGGCATTTTTAAAGGGCAACGGAATGCAAGGGATCAGCTAGAATATAAATAATAATGATAATAGATATTTATTTTGACACGATACTACGGCAGTTAATTTGTCTACTGACGATCGTACGTAGCATCGGCTGCAACCGCTATACTTATGACGTAGGAATACTTGTCGAAATTATAAACTGCAAACCAATATTACATTTTTATTAAGTTAAGAAATATATGGAAAACACCGAATAGCTCAATTATACAAATTGCGTTATTTTATTTTTGAAAGGATTTTTCAAAATTAGACCTCTAAGGGGGTAAAAAGGGAGATTTTTATATAGCTATATAATACACGAGCAACGCCGTGACGGGACACCTAGTAATGTATAAATTAAATGTTTACTATATTCATAATATATTATTCTATGACGGCGCAATAGATAGGCAATTTAGGGCCATGCTAAACTTTAAAATGTTTAATAATATAATAATTAGATTCCGAACAAAAAAAAATGTCGAAAAAAAAGAATGTCACATTTGCGTATATTTTGTTGATATTCACGTTCATAATTTCACATTTAGCGATATTATTTTTGATATTGTAGTGAATTAAACTATTATTGCCCTTAAGGTACGTTAGGTATAATACTTGAATTGTTTTGTTTATTTTGTTTTTCAATAAAAAAATATTTAATAAAATGCGTTAATTTTAATGCATATACCAAATTGTTTAAGCCGTTTGTGTGCTGTATACATATTTATCGTACATGACATCGATTCTGTGTAGTAATACATTATATAATTTGTCATAAAGTTGAGTCTTGATAACTTGAATTTATTTCTTGCCCTTTGAAGTGTTTTTAAGTTGTGTTTGAGGTATATGCTTAGGTTAATCGAATAACACAAAAGTTGAATTTACTTATATTCTTCTTTGTGTTATATCAAGACTGTATTTATAGTTTAATAGATGTAATTAGATACCTAAGCTCAATGTATATATTTATGATTTTTGATTTTTATCCGAGGCAACTCAAAGTATATATATTATTATTTTCTATAGCAATATTGACCGAACCGTTATCCGGATTATATAATTACGTAATTATTCATATAAATATATGATCCACATTTTCTATGAAATCCGTTGTATCAGGATTATGGAAAGGAAATCATTATTAATTCAAATTTTGGATGTAATTCATTAATTTGTCTAAATTGGACTAGATTTAAAAAGTAAAAACTAGATACTGAACATATAAACTATAAAGTTTTGTTAAGGAACTGAGTAGTAGATGATAGCTCTGTCAACAAGTGTATATTCAAAATTTAACATTTATAAATATTATATAATATTTATATTATTTTTGTGCGAGGGTAATGACTAACTAACATAGAACGCATGTATTTCTAAACTTTAATATTAATGAACAACTGGAAAATACTTTTTAGTTAATATATCTTTAAAAACGAAAATAAATAATAAAATAATAATCGTTATAATATATATTATCACCCGGATCGATAATTATAATCCAAATTGGTAATTTAAATCTGGATTAAACGGATTATAACGTTTTTCTCAATCTGAATAGTTGGTTAAAGATAAACTGAACGGCGAATATTGTATGTATAACGTGTGTATGGAGTTGCATAAATGCAGATTTTTATCAAGCGGCAACTCTATCGCAGCTCTATCACATGTGCTGCAGTGTCATAAAATTCACAGCAATTATTTTGCCTGCACAGTCGTTTGTCATAATATAGTAATTAGTAACGTATTAGAGTACAATAATTATTGTTATCCATAGGCCATTATTAATGGCAGTTAGGCGATTAAACTGTTGATTGTGTATGCGGTTATTAAAATTTCATTATATTATTATCTACTTTTTTTGACACGAAATGAGCTCGTGCGCGTATTATGTAATTCTTATTTGTCGATAGCCTGTACTCGTCGTAACTGTAACTGTATAATATCTATATCAACACCATTTACCTTAGAAGTTTCCAATCGTTAGTATTATTCATTATTTAATGTACCTGTAATAATAGGTATATACAGGATGATTCACGCATAAGCATAATCATCGCCGTTTTTTTATTTAATAACTAATTTATTCAAATATCTGATTTTTATAACTTTTAAATGTATGTATACTTATAAATACAATATTTTCAAGTTCTTGAAATTTTCTGCACTACTGAGGAACGTCATCTGGTGATGTAAAAACTTCTGTTTTTCAAATCTGAACCCTCTCCCTTTTTCCCGTAAGTTATTTATTGGATTCATTTTTAATTCGGATGAGTAGATTTATACAATTTACTAACATTTTTAAATTACCATAGCCCCCATCTCTTCCAAACTCATTATCATGGATTCTTTAAGCTTAGTACACTATATTTAATTAACATTGAAAAAATACTCGTTTGGACTTTGATTTTGTTACGTCAACATTTAAAGTAAAATGATCTGCTAAATAATTCACAGTAGAAAAGCGGGGATTATAATTTGCAGTTAAATAGAAATTTGTATCACTACAAGACACTTCTTAAGTAGTAGTTAGTACGAAAATTCTCAAGAATTTGAGAATCCGGTCTTAAGTATATTTAAAAATAATTTTGAAATACAGATTTTTAATAACTGCATTGTTGAAGGAAAAAAAGGGGAGAGCATGTTTGTTGAATCACCTTGTACAACAGGTCTTATACGTGTGCATGATTTTATCAAATTATTATCATATATGGTATGCCAATAACCTACATGGTCACCTTTTATTATATACATTATTTATCACTCCATAATCTTTAACTTCCCTAGTTCTATTGTACTATTTGTGGGAGATTAGCAATTCGTACAGTTATTATCTATTATTTTAATGATTCGATTTAACAATCGAAAGCCACTAAGTCTTGCTTATAGTAGGGTAGACGACATGCGTCAAGATGGCATACTCCAGATTATATTAGGTACCTAATAAAAATTAATTCGTTTTGGTAGTAAATGGAAAGTTGATTAAATAGTCGAAGAATTGAACTGATAAAATTTGGTTGGGAAAAAGTTAGCAAAAATTAAAACGTATAAGTTGCCACTGATTTGTTATTAGTTTATAGTACCAATTTAATTTCTATCTTGTTCATCAGTACAAGTAAATAATATGTATTGTTATTGTATCTCGGTACCTACTTAAAATGTCTTTAATTTTTTCTAACAAATAAATGTATCTACAATTATTGAATTAGGTAATTTAGTTTGTCCACTTAATATTGATTGTAAAATCATCAACACTATTATGTCTAAGTCTGGATTAATTTGATAAAAATTGAGTAAATATCTTTTGAGGTATCGTAATTCGTAACATATTTTAGTACTTATAGGCTATAAGTACTAAGTACTATAAGTTATAGCCTATAGGTAGATGTATGAAGTGTTTCATTGGCGTGAGCAGAGTTCTCGATCTGCTGCAGCACAAATTAATACCTATCCAAATATAATTTATTTAAAAGAACGTTCATTTTAGCATATAAAATATACATTTAATATGTCATAAATCATAATATAATAAATATTTAATTTACTGAAATACACGTACCCATGAGCGTAGACACTATGGATATATAGTGGAATATATCCCTCCCATGACCTTTTTTTAGATTCTGAGAGGAACAATGGATGCATTGATTTTACAATGATGTGTGTTTTTTTCTGTCATCATCTTTTAGAGCAATAAAAATTCTTTGATTTTCTACTTCAGTATATTTTTTGACAGGTAAATGAATCTAATTAGTACTCAAGGATAGAAAAAATTGAAAAATTTGCAAATCATTTTAACACATCCGTTACAGCGTCCCTCCTAGACACATATACTGTAGCCTGTAGGTACAACAAATCAGTGCCCGCTTATCCACTTTTTATATAAAATATTAGTAATGGGAAACTACTTTGTGATTTATTTTAAAAATAATGAATATGTATCCTCTTCCTCAGTAAAAAATAAAAATTCTTGCCTACGCTTAAATTTCAATAAAAGTAAAAAATACAAATTCAAGTTTTTATATATTAAATAAAAGTTAGGTACCTATTATAAAAAAACTTGTAGACTGTGTGTAGCACGGTGTCCTGCTTCAGTCAAAAACGTATTCTGAGATCAAGCATCCACCGATGTCACTAGTTCCTGGATGGGTGACCACCCCCTGGGCTTTAGTGACAAATACTCACCACATATACACGTATGTTCTAACCCACCGTACAATCCCGCAGTTTAAAACCTACTGAATAACCTTCAGGCTAAATAATGACCATAGATGTTGAAGACTTCACTAAATAATAATAATAAAAAAAATGTATGATACTTATTACCTACTATTTATTTATTAATTATACAGAAAAACTTCATTAGCAATTTATATTGATAATAATTTCGACTTTTATAGTAGAACCCAAGGAAAATAAAGAATAAAAATAAGAGATAATACAGTAGAGTCTCTCTAATCCGGTCATCGCTAATCCAGACATCCGGATAATCCGGAAAATCTATATTTCGTACTTTTGTACTTATGTATAATGTATATTCGGGAATCCCATGATTAAGATATTATCGTAATAATAAAAATAATAATGTGTAATGTAAAATTGTAAATCAATACATTTTGAATTTCTATAAATACTTAAGGTGTTTTTTGTTTATATTTATTAGTAAGTTCAAAAAAAACCTCATCCCGTTTAATCCGGATTTTGGATGATCCGAATAGAGTCCGGTTCCATCTAATCCGAACGAATTAGCGAGACTCTACTATACACCTAAAATCTAAATGTATATGTTCTTCTTTCTTTAGCGTTTTTTGTTTTCAACTTATCGATAAGGTACTTTATAAATGTACATTTTTCTTGTTCAAAGCATAATATATATATAATAGAAAAGATTACCTACAATCTCTCTTGTAATATTGTATTTTTCCAAATTTTAAAAATATTTTGATAGATTTTGTTACTGTAACTACAATTAATTTACCTGTCATTATAACATAGTTGTTGCTGTGAAAGAGTCTTTTCTTAGTGTTTGTCTTTACACTATGTACCTAGTTGACTATCTCAGTCTCTCATAGTTATAACAATAGTGACAGGTATCACAGTGGAAAATCGATCAACCTAAATACGTAGGCAGTATACATTTTATTTAAGTATTCACTATGAGCTATCAATCACATAAAAAATGAGCATTAATATTATATAAATATACACATATATCGCCTGACAAATAATAACTTACATTTTTACCGCGGGTTATCATTAATTTGTATAATTGTATATTTGTATATTATGTATGCGGTCCCAGAAAAAGTAACCGTTGCAGCTTACGCTTGCAACACGTGTTGCACTCGTGCGAGGGCCTATATGTAGTGTTTCACTATTTACAACAGTATAGGTAGGTACTATCGGTACATACCTGTATTAAAATATTTAAAATAAAACATTTCAACTATATTCGTATCTTTTAATATTATAGGTATCCTCCATAGGTATTAAATATTTTTCGATTTATCGTTTCTTCTTCAAAACGTATTTTTTATTACTGATTAGATACGTGTATTTAACGCCTAAAATCTACAAAATATTGTCATATTTCTACATTCATATTCTTATAATATAATATTTTTTAATAGGTACTTATAACTATATGAAGGAGGGGACTGGAGACGGCTATATTGTTCACAAACTACAAAACCATTCTCCAACCACACTAACTCCTTTTTACCCTTTAATATTGCATTAATTATAATATTTGAATTTTTGAATTTGTTAACCATACCTAATATAATGACCATATTTTTAAATATTTAGATTTTAATACAATTTAAGGTATGTCCATACTCCATACAAGCTTCTCCCTTTTTCTTTAAATGTGACTAGGTACTGTTATTAGTTATTACCTTAAATCAGTATGAATTCCATTTTTTTTTTAAAGTTGATGTATTAACCCGGAATTGGAGTTAATAAATTTATATTGAGTAAGAATAGTACTTTAAAAGTCTTCAATAATAATTTTACATACACAAGTGCCACTGGGGGTGATAGGATGGGGCATATGTGTTTTCCCGTTGGGGGATAAATCCCTCGTGGCCTTTTTTCAAAGTTGCGATTAACAGATATTGTTATATTAAGCCACCACGGTTCACAGCCCACTTAGGAATTAATTTATACATCCCTTTTTCTACAATGAATAATCCTGAGAACGCCACTATAGCCCTCCCCTAAAAAACTGACTCATAGCTGCCCTCAAGAAAAATTTATTTTCGAACTCATATCATATCAGTTTAAAATGAATGAAAAACAATGATTAACATAGCAACGTAAAATTCTGCACGTGGCTACACATATTCAAGGTCAATACTATACCT